TCTCTCTCTCTCTCTCTCGCTCTCTCTCTCTCTCTCTCCTGGGGAGGCAGAAGCAGGTGGATCTCTGTTGTGAGTCCCAGAGTTTCATGCTCTACATGAAAAATTTTAGGACAGCCTAGATTACATAATATAAAGACCAAGAGAACCTGTCTAGTATATGTATATGAAGGCTGAACCCAAGACTACGAACTGTGTGAGTGTGTATGGGGGAGAGTTAAAGTGGTTTTACCCTTTCTGTATTTCCACTAGGTTGGACAGTTTATAAACCACATTCTAGTATGAAACTAGCCTGATGGTACAGGCCTGAAACCCCAGTCACTCAGAAGACCAAAGCAACAGGATCACAAGTTCAAAGTCATCCTGAGACACTTAGCAAAGCCTTGATTTTAAAATACATAGAGATATACAGTCATGCATATTCAAGGCCCTGGGTTCAGCTGCAGTGCTGGAAAATAATGTGACTTCCTTTGCAGTGACAAACACACGGACTGTATTACTTCTGAGCAGCACATCTGAATTAACCACTGCTGGAGCAGACAGAGGTCTGCCATTTCCTTGTCGGAACTATCGTCAGCCTAGGACAGGACACTAGAGTGAAAATAAAATCCTGCAGCTTGTCCTGACCTTTGCTACCAAGGGCCATTCCTCCCTTGGATCAAGATCTGTGAGTGGGAGCTCAGACCAGGAGCAAGCCTGGGAAGAGCTTCCCAAGTGACAAGTCCTGCCAGACAGGTAGGAGACCAGGATGGGGCAGGGGCAGCTGTTTACCCTGAGCCTCTGCTATTTGACCTTCTTCCCTGAGGTGACTTAGTGAAAGCAGAGAGAGGCAGAGGGACTGACAACACTCAGGGTTCACGAGGAAACAACAGAACCATGTCACAGAGGTCCCCAGGAGTCGCTGACAGCTATGGCCAGAGTCTCCTGACAGCTGACAGTGGTTACAAACAAGAAAGTTGTGACTGTGTGCATAATGGCAAGCTGGCCTTGCCAGTTGATATCTTACACAGTTTTAAAAAGTCCAGGTGTTCTCTGCCTCTCTCTGTCTCTCTATCTCTCTCTGTGTCTCTGTGTCTGTTACTCTTTGACTCTCTCTCTCCTCCCTCTCTCTCTTGTCTCTCTTCTCTAACTACAGATCAGAGTGTCTTCGTGTCCAGGGGTTTGCCTGACTGAAGCAGCAGGCACTTAAGCCAAGACATGAAATCACCCATGTTGTCAGAGGGCAAAGTTGCAGAGGAAGAAAGACCCACCTGTTGCTAAAGCTGCTACCTTTCCTCTTCCAACTCCTGCCAGGACTTAGGAGGGAGAGCTCTGATCCCTGGGTCTCCTCCTCACAGGCTTCCAGACTGTGTGTTCTGGCCCACAGCTAAGAGCAGGAAGTCAGCCTGAGCACTAACTCACGAAGGAGGGCTCCGCCCTGATGGGGAAAAGAAAAACGAAACGAAAGTATTTTTTTAATTTCAAGTGTTCTGCTATGAGATGCTGTCCTTTCCTTCTTTCCCGAAATGGTTGGAAAGGAGGAGAAAGGGAACCCAGTGAATTGCAAAGGGGCACACCAGTGACAAGCATGGCCAATCCTGGGAGTGCCTTACTTATGCAAAGATAGAAATGAAAAACCCAAAGCAACAATAACAAAAATCCCTCCCCTTAAACCAAACTATTCTCAGTTTGTGTGTAGGGGAGCAGAGAATACCCAGGGTTGCCTGTAATCCTTTTTCCTTTTTTATTTCTTTTGTCTTGTCCCTGGCTGCAGTGGTTTGGGTGTGATAGAGATGGGAGGGAGGGGCAAAATCTTTCAAGTTATCTCTCAGGCTAGTAGGAGAACCCAGAGCTGGGTCCTGACCAAGAGAAGCTTTCCCTCAGACCTAGAACTCAAGGGTGGGAAGAAGCTGGACACAGTGGCCACCTGGACAAAGAACTTGTCCACCCTTCTGAGATGTGGACCTGGAGAAAGATGGACAGACACCTCCAGGGAGTCCTTCTAGGAAGCCCCCAGGGATCATGAGGACACATCAGGTCCCCCTCTCTTCCTCCTTCTGGGAAGACTTTCTCTCAGGAACTTGGTGGACTGGGGTGAGCCTGTACCCTGTCAGGTCTCCCAGCGGGCTTCTTGCCTGCACAGACCATGGCTCTATTCTCATCCCATGGCTCAAATGCACAGGGAGAGGCTGGCATGGGGCTGGAGTGGGCATGACTGGCAGCAGAGGCTGAGGCCATGCCTGGGGTTAGAGTTCAGGGCTCCTTTCATGGACTCATGTCTTAGCCAGGTCTCCAATTCTACTTCTACCAGGAATAAGACATTCTAAAATGATTTTTTTAAAGGATGAGTATGTTTCTGTATGGGGTGTGTGCGCATCAGTGCATGTGGCTGATGAGACAAGAAGACAGTGTGGGATCCCCGGAGCTGGGTACCCATGGGAGCTTCTAAGCCAAGCTATAGTGACAACAGTGATATTTTTTAACCTTGCCTGCAAGAATCAAGTATTGGAAATTTGGGCCTTACCAGTTGAGTTAATTTGTCATATATAGCCTGAATTTACTCAGATAATACTGTAGGGTGGGAGCCTAGGGACAATTTTTAATTTCCCCAATAAACACAAAGCAGAATCAACCAGCCCTCTTCTCTACAGGGCTCTAGGCAACACAAGACTTTCAACACCTTCTCTGAGCCAGTGTGTCAGAGCATCCCCTGTGCACATACACTACATTCTCTTATAAAAGGTGGACCTTAGCCGGGCAGTGGTGGCGCAACCTTTAGTCCCAGCACTCGGCAGGCAGAGGCAGGTGGATCTCTGTGAGTTCGGGACCAGCTTGGTCGACAAGAGCTAGTTCCAGGACTGGCTCCAAAGCCACAGAGAAACCCTGTCTCGAAAACCTAAAAAAACAAAAACAAAAAAAGAGGTAACCTTGCCCACCTTGCTCCCAGCCACCCCCCTCCTCCACTCTTGTCCCAGGGATATCACTGACCCCTCTCTGGCTCCCTCTCTGCCCCTTCTCTTCCATTGCCTGCCCCTTCTCTCACTTCTTCCAATAAACTTCCCATGTGAGTCCAGCTGTATGGCACGACTCCCTCCTGTTTGATTATTATTATTACTTTTTTTTAATTTATGAAATTTCTATATTTAATGCTGAAAATCAAGAGTAAGAGAATGACATAACAATCTGTTTGCTGGCTAAGTTACTGAGTAAACAATAGTCCACAGGGAAAGATGAAAAGTGCTTAGCTTCCTTTGTTTAAGATACAAAAAAGACTCAAAGGTTTAGGAAATAGGAAAGTTGGGTTGAATTTGTCATTTCATATCTCTTCCCCACACTGGGATATATTCAAAATACCTCACAAGGATACAGTGAGGAATAAATTTGTGATGCAGTCTTGGCATCCTTGAGGATCCCTGCAATATCCATTTTCTTTTTTTAAATTTTATTTTATTATTAATTCAAGTTAGGGAACAGGCTTGTTTCACATG